TTTTAAGTCATTGCGTGCATATAGCTGTAATTCCAGCCGTCAATTCGCATCATTTTTTAAATTAATTCGCTAAAATTGCCTTTTCTTTTCTGAATTGCGGTTTAGAAGGAAAAAAAAACACGTCAAAGAATATTTTATAGTGTTTTTGTATTACTCTCCTGTAAATGTAATCGAGACTTGTTGAACAGTCATAAGTAATGTTTGATTTAAAAGTGGAGAAATATGTTAGAATGATTATCTAATAAAGTGAAATTAGTAAAATAATTTTTTTTTATTTTTTATGAAGAATGACCATCTAATTATTCTTTGTAAAAAGTCATCATTTTACAAATAAAAATTTTTAAAAAGTTATTTTACTAATAAAACTTTTCAATTGAGTTATTTTTACAAAGACCTCAGTTCTGAATTTTGGTTTGAATTTTTACATACTAATTTAGTTCATTGATTCGAGTTTTTAATTTGAATTGAGTTGTGATTTTATGTGAAAATTTTTTATTATAACAAAAAAGTTAAATGTGATTTTTTCTAAGAGCTTTTTACTATAATAAAACTCAAATTCTAAACTCAAATAGGTGAAATGAACAAGAAGTAAGTGGATGTTTGGTTCATAGATTTAGAACCATGATTAAGAATCATTTTCGTCTTATGTGTGCTCTTTTTGTGAATGAAAAATATTATAGAGAATCATGAATTATAATTCAGAATCAATAACGAATACAGAAAACAAACATAAATTTTCACATGTTTCACCAAAACAAACTATTTTTAGAAAAAAAAGAGTAAAAAATTCGCTGAATAACCATTTTTAGAAAAATATTTAGAGACGATAAATAATTACAACCTCCAGGTCAGTTTACGACACAAATACAGAACTATACAACAGACAGCATGATTCTCTATCGTCCAAACAAATTTCTGCTTTTTTTGTTCTGTTCAGGTAGACATACAAGTTTTCCAACTTGTTTTTTTTTTGGGCACCGTAAACTGTTTAAAAAAACCAATAACAATAATGATAATAAGCGGGCTCTCTTTTTTTAATTAAGATTTTTTTTCTTTTCACAAGTATTTAAAAAAAAAAAAAAAAACAGTATATGCTTTCTTTTACAGTTATACTCCTCTTAGTACTCTCATATCTTATTTTCGTGCTAAATTTACTTTGAAAACAGACAATTTACTTATAGAAAAGTAAAAAACTGTATTTAAAAACTAGCGATAAACAAGTGAATATCGTCAAATAACCCAAAAGAAAAGCATACACAAAGAAAAAATACAAACTTAATTAAGCATGTAAAACCAATGAAAAACGGATAAGTAGCATTGCTCAAAACCAAAAAGAAGGAAAAAAAAAAGTATTAAAAAGAAAAAAAAAAAAGTGATAATCATGTGACAGTGGGGATGTTGGTCGGACCCCCACATTAAGTTGATGCGCAATGCATAAGAAAGGTCAACATCTCAATGGGTAGTAGAAGAAGCGACAAGAAGAGCAGAGTACTACTATACCGATCATTCAAAAAGACGTTTGCATGCAGTTATACTGCTATATATTACTCTCTGTAATATACTAGCAGTTGCAGTTGGTGCAGGTAACGAGGCAATTATAATAATCATAATTTTGAGTTAATAATACTGTTAGTCTCTAAACTCTTTTATAAATGACAATTTAATCTTTAATTTTTTAATTTTGTCAAAACGATCCTTAAACTTTTAAAATGTTGGCAATTGAAACTTTTACGTATAAATTTGTATAAATTTGTTAAATTTCTCACAGAAAGTTACGTGTGACCATCATGTCACTCTTTTTTTTTTTTAATTAAAGGATACAAATATCCTCAAAAACTAACACCAAAAGAGAAAAATAAAATAACAAAAAGAAGAAGACGAATGAAGAAAACAAAGACAGAAGGGGATATATAGAAGAAGTAAAAGGAAATCATTGGGTGCTGAATTTATTGTATTGTGAATGACGAATTAAAAGCAGAGATTGAAATGTTTATAGTTAATCTACAACTTGGTGTTATACTAAAAAAAGAAAATCATAGCTGTCTGAATATGTCGTTTGTTTGAGTTGATTGTTCGAGCTTGGATTTCACTTGTGGTTTACAACTACAAATTTCTTTGTCGTCTGTTGGAGATTAAATTAGTCTAATATAAACAATTCTTCCCATTCTTCTTAAATTGTTCCATTATTACTTATCCATTGTCTCAAAAGCTTTGTTCTAATAAAAGGAATATTTGCAAGCATTGTTTGATTCAAATTTTATCACCACCGTTAGGTGTCAACCCCACAGCCTTTACCACCATCACCGTCCGTCTCTCTCCCATCACCGTCACCGTCAAGAGTAGGTACTCCCGATGACCCCCGAGGTCACTCCCCTTGTGAAGCCATCGCGACCTCCCCCTCCATCACACAAGGCCTATCTCCATTGCTATGGCAACATCTCCGTGAACCCAAAACTCCGCCGACCAAATCTCGTTAGCCACCAGAAGAAGCAGCCACTCAGATCTAGTTGCTTTCCCCCCCTTCCCCGTCGCTGCAAGATCGAAGCGCTTTCCTCCTCCATCGCGAGATCTAGTCCCCTTCCCTTTGTCATCGTGAGATTGCAGTCACCCCTCCATGCCGTCACAAGATCAATGCCGCATCCCTCCGCCCATGGTTGTGCATATCCTTCCCTCCCTAACTTTCTCCCTCTCTCTAATTCTGGTTTCTTTAAGTTACATTTTTATTTTTTATTTTTTAAATCAGGTCTACAACTTTTTTTATTTAAATTATAATCTAATATTATTTTACCAATATGCTCTTCTAAATTGGAGTACATGATCGTTTCCGTTAGAAACTTAAAAGCAATAGACGGAAAGGTAATTGCTAACGTTTTCAAAGTTTAAGGACATTTTTACTAAAATTAAAAATAAAAAAAAAAAGATTAACCTATTAAAGAGTTTAGGGACCAATAATACTAATTACCCTGATGTTTTTATTTCTTGAGGGAATTCCTTTCATATTCGGTTCTGAGGATGACGTTTCGACCCCTGCATTTGGCATGGTCGTGGATAGGATAGGAAATGACCTCATCTGCCACTCATAACTCAACCCCATAACACACAGCCCTACCAGTATCACTATAACTATATGTGCTATTTGAAATTGATAATATCATAATATGCTATGCAATTTCATATTTCAATTTTTTTTTCGTACATACGGCGCAAGATGATTCCACAAATCGAAGTGGTTATGGAGATTTTGAAAGGAAAAGAAAAGGCCACGGTGCTCGATCGTATTTGGCTTTGAAGCAGCTGCCAAGTCCGGCTTACGACAATATGAGGTCTTGTGCAAAAATTTCGTATTGGTATATGAACGCACGTTTGAAATATGGGATACAAATGTATTGCAAGCCTAAATTTTAAGATTTTTTATCGAAAAAAAAGTGGAAGGCCTATCTTTTTAAAAATGAGTAGTGGATATTTATAAGGGGAAAAATCAGAAATATCACTTAAGATGTTTTTACATTACATAAATAGTTGTCATTCAATTAATAAAGAGAAGACAAAAAACCATAATGGAATCAATTATTTAAAATGCCAAATAATAAACCAACACAAAATTATGATAAATTATGTACTTTACTCTATTTATAAGGAAAATGCAAAAGTATCTCCACAGAATGCATGAGTCTAAATTTTTATTATTTATTATTAATTAATATTATTTTAATTAAATAACTATATTAGTCAAAAGAGTATTAATAAATGCGTGGGAGCACTAAAACATCGTAATTAATAAAAAAAAATGAGCTCATTTATAAATCTCATTCTATTTTATCCATTTTTTAATCGTGTTTTGTTTTGGCGCCAATAGTATTTCTAGCATTCCTCAATTTGCTTAGCTCATTGCTTTAAAGGAATTAAGAGAAGTTTCATATTTGTATTGCGTGTGATTTTAACATCTAAGGACACTTGATAATGATAAAATATTTGATATCTTTTAATTTGTATCACGAATGTTTCAATATTATCATAATAATTGAGTTTTTAGCACAATTGCGTCAAATTTATCATGGTTTAACAAATTACCTTATAAATTTTTAATTAATTTATAAAATTGTTGTAATATGTCTCTAAATTTACTCAATTTTTTTTATTAAATTTAAGGAATTTAAAGTTAAGAAATTAAAAGACTTTTGTTATATTTAAATTGATATGTTGAAATTTTTTGTCAAACATGTTTTTTAAACACTAATTTAATATAATCATCATCAAAATATGACGTATTATAATAATTTTACAATTTGAAGGGACAACTTTTTTAAAATCATAAATTTAAGAGGTAAGTTGTTAAAACCATACAAATTCAGAGATAAATATGTAAAATACTCTATTATAATTTGTTTTTGATTCTCAGAAAATCCCAAATTGACGGATCACTGTGAGTTTCAATGACCCATCTCGTGCTAAAGATCCAGTCTTTGTTTTTATTTTTTCCTTTTTTTTAATCTATCATTACTCCGGGGCTTAATATAAACGACGTTTCAATGCATATAAAAATTGATTCAATACATGAAAACATTGACTATACCTTAGAGTTTGAAATTAGAATGTAATTTGCTTGCAGCATAAAGTCCAGGATTCAAAATGTAATGCATGAGACATGTCTTGTCTTGGTTTAGAGGTAACTAAGGAAATTTTGAGCTCCACCACCTTTGGGTTTTGTATGCGGGTGAGCATTTCCCTGAACATGTATAGTTTTTTTTTCTTTTTTTTCCTTTCTCAGATAAAGAGTCAGTTTAGGGTTACTGTACTTTCAATAAAAGCACTACTTTTACTTGAAGCAGAAACATAAGTAGAAATAGACTTTAAAAGCTCTACCTTCTAACTTCTCAAAATAACTTTAAAATGCATTAATTTATGTGCAAAGTGTCTTTGTACACCTTTACTAAACACTATAATTCATCGTTTATTGTGCAAAGTGCTTTTAAGAGTTTCAAAAGCAATTCCAAACACATCTAAAATGGGAATTTCTAATTATAAGTTAAGATATATGGCAATAATGGGCCAAAGAAGCATATAATACTTAGAGCATGTTTGTTTCACGCGTTTGGAACCATGATTTTGATTCTGGTATAATATTTTTTTCCCACAAAAATTTGAATAAAACAAGTTCCCGCGTATAGTTCTCACAATTTTGAATTGAGAACTAAAATCACTGATTTAAACGCGTGAACCAAATAGGCTACTAATGTTCTAATTGGACATGAAAAATGATACCGAAGAGAGAAATCAGATAATTACTACTTTTTTTCAACATCCTTCTCATGTCCAAGGGCAACAACATTAGCAACTACCACTTGCATATAATAATTACCATGTATCCGAACTTCAAATGAAAAATTCCGGCGTATGTATGTGGTCGAGGAAGCACACACCCGGACAACGCCTTCCTAACTGGTGGTAAAATGCAAAATCAACATGCTGAGATCTTTAGAACAGCAAGAGAATACCAATCCACCAAATAGAAGAACAACCGTATCTCATAGAGTCATACAAATCTGTCCACTTTTGCAGAATGGAGATCCAGTGGGAGCAGCCAATCCAAGACTTTGCATCACTTTGAGTCTTCGTGCACTCAGTTCTTGATATCTCAAAACTGAGATTTTGCCCTGAAGTTGAGGTGTTCATTCTATGAGTTCAAGTTTTCAAGAAAAGGAACTTGCGCGAAAAAACAAATCAACAGGTAAACATACTCACAGAGCTTGAGCCATTTAGCTTGCTTTTCTTAGGCGTCTTATCATGCTTCGGTGTTGTGTCAATTGCAACCTCCCCAGTGCTTTGCTCATCTGGCTTGGGCTTTTTCTGCATACCATCTTCCTTGATTTTCCTCTTTCGGCTTTTACCTTCCCCTTCATTGTCTCCTTGGCTCTTTGATTGCTTACGGGATTTTCCTTTTACTTCATCTTTAGCCTCGCCTCGCTTGGATGCTTTGTTGCTCACTTCGTTGTTCGTCTCTATGTATACTCAAAACCGAAATGTTAGTAAAATTGTACATTTGCAGTATTTGCAGTACGTTTATAATCGAAACCTGAGAAATTTATGGCCTTAAACCAGATATAATCCAATGTCTATCACAATCTTCTCATCAGTGTTTTCCATTATTGCGGCACATTTAACTTATCAAGATGCTTGTATAATTTCAGAATTCGGAATACATACAAGCATGGATTTTGGATCTTTGTTCTTTGTTCTTTGTTCTTTTCTAGTGTTGTTTGTCTATTACAGCCCGTTTCAGCATTCAACTTTGAGATTTTAAACACTACCATTTTAACTCATAGTAATGTTTATCCAACAAAATAGGTAATTCGCTCTACAGAAAAAAATTTTGCACTGGCTAACCTTTAGATTTGGATCTTTGCCTCTTTGACCCGCCAGCTTTCAAGCGAGCAACGTCCTGTACCAAAATCAGATTTAGAAAATCAAACTAAGCTAGTAGCCTAGTACAATATCCTTGCGCACAAACTAATCTCGCTCAATAAATGAAAACTTTACCTGCTCCAAAGCTCTCAAAAAGATCTCCCTACAAGAATTGTTATTCTGCTCGAGTATCTGAAAGTTTCAAAGATTCATAACCATGAGAAACGGACCAGAAAATCTAACATCTTGCATGAATGATGAATATATATCAAAAATTAGGTTGAATGGAAAACTTACTTTATCAAACTCGGAGCGACATTTGATTGGATCCGCGTAAGAACTGCAAGAGAGAGAGAGAGAAGACTTCGTATAAGTCATAAGAACAAACAAAAAGCCCATCATCTGAGCAAGGGAAAAAAAATAAGGCACTCACTATGTGTAAGTTCCATAAAGCCGAACGAGGACTTTCCCTGGTGATCTTTTACTAGGCTTACTGCTCTCGCTTATGAGATTCTCATCAACAACCTACGAAAATAAGTACATGGATCAACACCCACCATAACATTTTCCACATTAGATTCAACACCGAAATTCGGTTCGAGTTACGAATGGCATGCCACATGATCTAAACAGTATGCCGCGCATACCTGCGCCAGCCACCACGAGCCTCCGTGGTTCTTGACCCATATTATATCTGCAGGCTTGACCTTCCTTTCTAATTGATTAGCTGCAACTTCCTCTACACTTTTCTTCCTAACATGATTTTTCCCATTCGCAAGTTCTTTACTTTTCATGGCTTTCCTTTGCTTTTGAGCATCTAAACTTCAACAAAAAAAAAAAAAAGTGTACTTTAGATATTTCACCCTTCTTATGCTAAAATCTAAACAATCTCACAGTTCGAAACTTATTCCCTAGAATTATACCATCCTGTTACATTTGACATTTTATATTGCTCTTAAAGAGTCCAACTATACACGACAAAAGACAAAACGGAACTTTCAAACAGCCCCAATGAAAAATACTGCCCCTGAGTCCTGATATTTAAATGCCATATTTATCAAGTTCACTTGCCGTGGGCACCTAGAATCAGGAAACTGAAGGGCAAACAAGAGAAAAAGAAAAAGGCATAAATCTACCAAGCAAAACGAAAGCACAAATTTTCAAATTTTAACCGGCAAGCAAACAAAAAAGACAACCTTTTCTTTCCCACAATATTTTTCCAAAAAGGTTTAGGAAAAAAAGAAAAAGGAAAAAAAAAAAAGCAAACGCAAATGATCATAATCTCAAGAAAAACTATATATAACTAAGACAGCAACAAGAAAAGAAGCCAAGAGCGGAATGGGTTACTCACAAATCACCAGAAGAGAAGACCCGAAGAGGAGATCTGAGTTCGGAAGACCTCAGAGAAGGTCACTTCGCATTTGCAGAATGAATGCCTGAAGGCAAACAAACGATGATGAAGTTGGAGTGGCAGAGAGGTTTCTTGGAATAAGGAACGAAGCCAATACTCCTCTCCGATCCTTTCACCTCTGTCTCTGTGTCAGTTTGAATTCATTTCAATGGGACTGTTTAATTTGCTGACAGCTTTACAGCCTTTTCTCGTTCATATATTTGTTTATTTAGCGATTAGATGGTAAAGTTTTATTTCTAACATTTAAAATTTAATTTTTAAAAAAATATATATTATAATAGAATTAAAAATTATGATTTGAATTATGTATAATTTTTAAACGGAAGGTACTTATTTTTTTTAAGAGTATTCTTAAATATAGCTTTTAATCTTAGGGTGCGTTTGGTAGATGGATTCAAAAGCATGATTCTAGATTTTGATTTAGAATTGTGTTTGTTTACAGGCATTCGGAATTATGATTCAGAATCAGTGTTTGGTTTGGATGATTCTAAATCATGATTCTAAATCATGATTCAGAATCTGATGTGATGTTTTAAACTAGCTTAAATCATAATTCTAAAATCATCCCCCATTTTGATTCAATGTGATTCAAATCTTTGATTCTGAATCATGGTTTTAGAATCATGATTTGAACCTAAAATCATGAATTATAGTTCTTGTTTCAGAATCATAATTAGAATCACCATGGCGTGAATTCTCGCACCAAACGAACCCTTATAGATTATTTTTATTTTACTTTCTAAACTTTAAAATTTTTTTTTTTTTTTTACATTTTGCACTGGTCACATCAGGGAAACAAAAGAGGAGAAGGTGAGGTATGTAGTTGTTTTAAAACAAAATAAAATAGAAAATTTATTCTTTAAGAGTGCATAAATCTGGACTTTTATCTTTTATTTTTGATAAATATCTTTTTGTTAGTATAATTATGTGACTAAAAAAGTTATGAATCAAGAATAAAGGGTAAAAATTCTGATGTATGTATTTTTAAATGGTATTTGTCAATATTACCCTTTTAAAACTATAAGTTTGAGCCGGCCAAAGACTCGCCATTGTTGGCTCGGGCCCAGCCTAGTCTTAACCTCTGGGTTAGGCCGAACTGAAGTTTCAAGCGCGAAAGTTTAAAATCGGGCCCACTCAAACGACCTTTAGATTTTGCATTGGTCACGTCAAGTGGACAAAAAAGGAGGAGGTGAGGTCATGTAGTTGTTTTATAAATGTAAGTTTGACCCAAGCTAAATAAGCTGACCCAAGACCCACCACTATTGGCCCATGCCCAGTCTGATCTTAACCTTATGCTGGGCTGGATAGAGGTTTTAAACTTGAAAGTTTATTCAAACTGGCCTAAACGACCTCTTTTTAAATTTTTTTTAAAAATACCTTATAAAACTTCAGGTCGGTCTAGGCCGACCTTGTTCCATTTAGGATTAGGTTGACCCGACCTAAAATTTTCATTCGAGAGCGAACTGCCCAAACTTTCACCTCTAAGTCATTTTTTTTGTTTGTTTTCAATATTACAAATGGCAAAATAATGTTAATGTAGATACATATAAAAGCTTCGTTCATTTCATCGATTCGAGTTTTACTACAGTAAAAAGCTCTCAGAAATAATCACATCTAGGGCCCGTTTAGTTTGCTGATTCAAGTTTTTAATTCGAGTTGATATATGACTTTATGTGAGTTTTAGACTGTAGTAAAAAAGTTAGATGTGACTGTTTCTGATCGTTTTTTACTGTAACAAAACTTAAATTTTAAACTCGAATTGATGAAATGAATGAGGTCAAAGTAACCTCCATTAATAACATCTCAAACGACAGAAATGTGAATACGATTTAGACGACGATAAAGTTGACACGACTGGAAAAAACGAAACAAAACGTTGAACAAGGAAACGACGGTAAAAAGAAGAATCGAAAACATATAAGTAAACGACGACAATGAAATCACGAGAAATGGGAAAACAAAAGTGAAATAAACGGCAGTAAAATCATATGAAGGACAGAAAACTAGTAAACGACTATAATAGAGCAAACGAAGACAAGTAGGAACAATAATAAAGCGCACACGACAGAAGCGTGACAGACAACGATAATATTGAAACTAATAACTAGTACAGCGAAAAAAGGAAGCGACAAAACGGCAACAAATGTGTGAATGACAAGAAGGAAGTAAACAACAAGGAAAAAAAGAAATGACGTGCAAAGAAATAAACAACAGATGGGGTTAAAAGAGACAGCGGATGAAAACTGATGATAAAAAACGACGACAAAATAGCAAATGACAAACGTCTTATGAAAATGAATGGAACGTGACAAACGACGAAGTGAGAGAAGCAGCAGTGAATGAGAAAACGATGACAAAAATAAACGACAAAAAATGAGTACAATGGGGACAAAAATACTACATTGGATTGGAGGACAAGAAAAGAGACAGCCATATCAAAAGGAATATACACGAGCTTCTCTCGGGAACTAGTTATAAGCACTATTCCTTCCTTTCAAATATGTATCTGTGTGTGTATATATATTTATATATATATATATATATTAAGCACTATTCCAGTAATATATAAATGAAATCTCATTTTATCCAAATATTTTATTTTAATGATGAACAATATCATGGGTACCAAATTGCAATAAAAAATTAATTTTACATTAGTTTTTTATGAATTAATATTTTTATTTTATAAGGATGTATTTTATAGTATATATATATTTTTAAGGGTATTTTATAGGATATTTGCATGACTTTTGTTGTTAGATTTTTTATTATGTCTTAGAAGTTGAAATTCTAAACGAAATTACTCAATTGGCAGCTCATTGAATCATTGGTATCCATGAATCCCACATTATCCTCAGGGCCCATAAACGACAAAACCCCCGCTTCTTACATCTCTTTTCAATGCCGTACTTTGATACAGTTCAAGAAATCAGGCGTTTGAGTTTTCATTTGTGAAACATTTTTGTGGTAAACATTTGGCATCCAACACTCAAATCCCTATCTTTTAAGCAAGAAGGTTCTCTTCTTTAGTTCCAACCAAACCAAAAAAGGAGAAAGAAAGTTAAAAGGTTCCTATCTGAACAATTTTACCTTTGTGTCATACTTTCATTTTTCTTTGTGGGTTTAACATAGAGAAAAGGGGTTCAGGGGCAGAAGTAGTGTAGATTCAACTTTGATGATGGAAGTGTGGTGGTTTCTGTTAGGGGCAGTTATACCAGTTGTAGTTGCGGGGCAAGCTCTGAAAGTAAAGGAAAAGAGGAATGACCACGAAAGAGCAAAGACCGTAGGCAGAAGCGGTAAGGGTAGCTTCAACGGCGGTGTCTTTGTCTGTGAGAGGGTGTGCAGTTCAAAGAGACTGCTAAACAAGGTTGCAGCATCTTCAAAAGATCCAATAATGGATGCTTGTGTGACTGTCTGTGGTGCTTATGAACTGGATGCTTGTGCCGAGGCTTGTGCTAAAACGGTGTGTGTCAACCAACACAAAGTGCCTGATTGGAATGGCGTTTGTCTTGCGAGATGTCAAAGTGAGTGTCTTAAGCTGTTGCATTCGCCGCCTCTCAATTCCGAGTAATTTCTGGGTTTCTTCTTTCATCTCTATGCGTCGAGTTTTGTAGTAGAATTCATTTTCTTTTCTTATTGATGAATAAAAGCTTTTGTTGAACCAAATCCTCCAAAAGTATCCGACTTCTAGAGCTATGGCGAGATTTCTTAACGACGTCAATGAGAACAAAGGCGCCAGGAACAGAGAAGGGAGATCTTACGTTCTTATTTTGTATGAACTATGATGCTTCAAATTTTCTTTGAAGTAATAATATCAAAGGTTGTTCCTGCTATGCATTATATGGTTGTTGTCTTCTTGTACCTTCCAGTTTCCATTATGATTCACAGTTATCTAAAGAACCAGAGCAAGCACCAACTCAGAGTAACTAATGCCACTGAAAACTGAGCACTTATCTCTCTTTAAAGTCTTCTTAGCCGAACAAAAAGACACTTATAGCTGGGAATTGCAAGTATGCCAAGTAAACAAAGGCACGACAAGACAAGAATGGAAATCAATATCTCTCTTTAAAGTCTTCTTAGCCGAACAAAAAGACACTTATAGCTGGAAAATTGCAAGCATGCCAAGTAAACAAAGGCACGACAAGACAAGAATGGAAATCAGATTTATACAAGACTTTTCGTAGTGGTAAAAACAACACTCAGATTTATGATACCCTCACCAATAACATAACCGATGCTTACAACAATGTAAGCACAAAATTAAAAAAGACAATTTCAATCAGTGACTCACCAAATTTGTTCATGCAATTGCCTGGCATGACTGACCAAATTTCAATCAGTAAGACCATCTTTCAGGTTGAAACTCTCAAAACTCAGAGAATACCTCAATCAAACTGCTAAATTGCAGCGATTGTTGTCAAGTAGCGTTCAAGTTGAAAGGAATACACAACGACACATAGTAAATTATGGGTTCCCTTCGTTTGTGCATTTAAATTTAAATTGTGTGGTTTTAAACCCTTTAGATTTGAAGCAAAAATTTTAAACTTATTACAACTGGTGTTTGGAAGTGTAAAGTCTCAACATGGAATGCGTCGATGGCCCGACCGTCAGCGATACTTTTATTGGGTAAGATTAATTCGGTGCTTAGCTAATGAATATGAAAATGTCTGTTTATTTTCTGACAAATTTGCAGAGCCATTGCAATCGCAAGGAACTACAACCACATGCTTCAATTCAGCCATTCCTGCACGAACCCATTTGACCTTTAAAAAAAAAAATAACACATTCCAACATAATCTAAATCTACAAAGAGGCTCCAAGGCATCATGGTTGAAGAAATCCTCGATTATAATTTATAAAAACTACATATCAACAACCAACAACAACAGCTACAACACAATCACAAATGTACTACAATTCTACAACAATACCTTCCACGCTTTTTTGTATGATCTCATCATCGCCCACCATGATCAACATATTTTTCTTCCCATGAAAAAAGCACCTTTTCCTCAGCTTCAGTTAAACTATCATCAAAAACCAAAACTTTCCCATCTCCAACTTCTAAATTGGCTTTAGTGCCTAAAATTCAAGAGTACAAACGAGGTCTTCCCCTCTTCCTAGGAGCCGGAGTTTCGCCCGCACCCGTATTTCTCACCCTAGCCGCCGCCTTTCCCCGCTTACGGATCTCGTTCTCCGCAGCTTGAAACATCGGCGGCATCCAATTGGGAAACCCTGGCGCCGCCGGCACCGGACCCGAACTCTTCCCTCCTCCGCCGTCGCCGTTCTCCGAATTCCCCAAAACAAACCCTAGCGGGAAAAACGCCCAGCAGCAATAGTACGCGTCCTGGCCGGGAACCATCGGCGGCATCGAGGGAATAACCGCAGCGTGGAAGGCCTTCTGGCATTTCTGGCACTTCAAGCAGCAATCCTCGTAAACCCTAGGATACTCGTACAGCACATAACAGTACGGACACACCGTCCAGAAGCTCTGCAACCTCGACCCCTCATTTCTGGCTGAATTTCCACTCCTAGCCGCCGCCGATGCCTCCGGAGCCTGGGTCGTCCTCCGGACGGGAAGCTTGTTCTGCAGAGACGAGGAGGCGGCGGTGGTCGTCGCCGTCGTTGTGAGGTCGATCTTGGAGAAGAGGTTGAGTTCGTTATCGTAGAGAGGCTTCTTGACGACATCGGAGAGAACGGCCCAAGCCTGAGCGACGAGCCTGAAGGCCTGGTCGGCGAAGGCGAACTTGTTCTTGTCCGGGTGGAGGAGGAGGGCCAGGCGGCGGTACTGCCGCTTGATGATATCCTGGTCATTGGAGCGGGAATCGACCTGAAGGATGCCGTACCAGTCGTGGTGGTCGTTGATGCGCCTCTCGGCGGCGAGGAGGACGTCCACGACGGCGAGGATCTGGTCGGAGCCGTCGAGGAGGGGCTCCGTTTCTTGGGCTAAGACGGCGAAGTCGCGTGATCCATTCAGATCTCGGTTCTGGAGAAGCTTCTCCGCCACTCCCAACAGCCGCTCCGCCTCCGCTCGGCTTGTGTTCGCTTCCATTTTTCTTTTTTCCCCTTCTTTCTCTCACGTTCCCGGTGGCGGAGTGTTTGGCTGGCGTGAAAATTTTCCGGAAATTCCGTTTCTCCCCCCTCTCTCTGTCTCTGAGTAAATAGTAAATACGACAATGCGCTTTTTTCCTCAATAAAAATCAGATAAATTCTGTCAATGTCCTGGACTATTTATAGAAATATTTAGAGTGCATTTAATTAGTGAATTTGTGATAATATTTTTTTTTATAAAAAATACATATAAATAAAAAATGATTATGAATTATGATTCTAAATTATAAACTAAGGTCTCGTTTATTTTACCGATTTGAGTTTTTAATTTAAGATTTTTACAATAAAAAGCTCTCAAAAAATGTCACATCTAACTTTTTCTACTACAGTAAAAAGCTCTCAAAAAATGTCACATCCCAGCTCAAATTGAAAACTTGAATCTGTAAAGTAAACGGGGCCTAAATATCTACTTAAGCACCGTTCATAGAATTTAAATTTTATTATAATAAAAAATTTTCATGATTTAAAACTCAAATTAACTAAATAGGTCCTTATATTTGTTTATAAAAGCGTGTAACAAACCATTCAAATCAAATTAAATTAAAATAAAATGAAACTAAACTAATTAATAATCAATTTAGTTTGGTTTAAATTTTAAAAAATCAATTAAATTAATTTGGTTTGTGATTTTTTTTGTTAAAAAAACCAAACCAATTTCTATCTATATAATTTTTCTAAAATTATATGTATCATATATCTTAACTTATTTATATTTAAAAAACTCGTTTATTCTAAAATTAAATGATCATAACTTTAAAAATTTCTACCATAACTTATATATAGAGTATTAACACAGCTTTCACGGTCTATCCTCAAGCATTCTTCGCTCATCTCCTCTCATTCTTCACTCCTCTGGGCCCTGATTGTGATTCAATATAAATTATTGCCTCTTTGTTAACGTGAATATAGCCTCTTTAATAATAAGTATCTCTGACTTGTCTATATTCGCTTTCTTTCATATATTTAAAATAGTTGAAAGCCTAAATATCATATTTAATCACGAGTCACAACTGATATCATATAAATATATCTATAATTAAATTGTATTGACTTTGTGTCTTTAGAAGAAAGAGAAGAAGAGACAAAAGAGCATACAAAATGTTAGTACAACTTATGGTCGAGAGTTGAGAATAGTTTGTAAAATATTAGTTCAAACCAATTAAAAAACCAAACCAAACTAATTACAATCGGTTTGGTATGGATTGGATTGGATCTCTTTATTAGTTTGGCTTGGTTTGAAAATCTCTAAACTAATTTATAATTGATTTGGTATGTATTTCACCTAAAATAAGTAGTTTGGTTGGTTTGCACACCCTTATTTGTTTCACAACTCAAGTTAAGAACTCGAGTTATGTATATGAGAGAAAAATATTGTAGCTAAACAGTTGAATTTGAATTTTTATGAGAGAAAACACTATAGCAATAAAACGTGAATTGTGACTTGAGTTGTAAAATGAATAAGGAATTATTTTCATAATTAGACTCAAACTATTTACTCTATTTCAAAGTGCCCTTAAATTTTTTAAAACAATTCAAAACACTCTCCAAAATATGAAAACATTTCAAGATGCTCCACGTGTCCATCTTCATCTCTTATTCTAACTGATTTGATGATGTGGCACAACATTAAAGGTTAAAAAAATATATTTAACAATATATACATATGAAAAATATTGATAAAAAATTAACAACCATTGAATTTTAACGATTAATATGAGTTTATCTAATTTGAGCCCTCTATTTAAGCAAGTTTAGAAGAAAAAAAAAGGTGTACGAAGCTACTGTTGGTTTTGAAACGTTTTCAAAGTGTGGAAGCGTGGTAGTGCGGATCGTGTATAACAAAAAATTTTCACAAAATTTTTTGAATACTCTATAGATTATATTAATTTATGCAATAATAATTAATCTCATTAATTTATAACAATAGATACATTGCAGACGATTATGACGATATCTTTAGGTCTTTGGCCAATGAACGTTCCTCGCTCCAAAGTTTTCTTAGAACACCTAAGCCTTCCTCATCTACTCCTCGATTTCGCAAGACGATGAGTGTGGGCTCAAGGTATAAACTATCAAAATGATCTCTCGCTAATTTGTATTCTTTCACTATCAGCATATGTATGTGAAAAAATTGAGAATATTATAAGAATTTTTTTCTCTTTTTCTCTCTTGTAATATTCGGCCAACCTAGGGAAAAAATAGGAGATCAAAACTTTTTTTTCTCCTATTTATAGACAATTAGGATAACCATTTTGCTTGTAGGCTAAGAAAATAGGAAATTGGTACCTACTATATTTTTAATCTCATTAAAAATCTAATTTTTCTTTTACTTTTGGAAACAAAATTTCCTTCCCTTTTTCTTATTGTGTGGCCGGCCATCTCTTAAGAAGGAAGGAGAAAACTCCTTCCTAATCCACTTTCCAATTTTAGCTTAAATTCAATTCTAAATAAAGTAACATTTTACTTTCATTTTTTGAATTTAATTAGAAAACTTGTCAAACAAGTAAACTGGATTACTTGGAGAGCAAGTAACTAAATCTCAATGGGATTTTTTTCAGTGTATTTTACTTTCATTTTTTGAATTTAATTAGAAAACTTGTCAAACAAGTAACTGGATTACTTGGAGAGCAAGTAACTAAATCTCAATGGGATTTTTTTCAGTGTCACTGATGAGTGAGTTTTACTCGCTCATTTGGTATCGTTTTAGACTTAATATCTAGTTGGTTTCGAGGTTTTTGTTAGTTTTTATGTGTGTTTTCGTTCTTTATTTGAAGGATAGGTGGAAGTCTATGATTTGGAAGGTTTTGGACAAATTTCGGTGAAAAAAGACAGCAATCATAGTGCTTAGGCGCCAATCTGTAGCGCCTTGGCGCTGAGTTATACGGAATCAACAATTTGGGCAGAACTGGTGGCGCTTTGGTGCCAGTTTGTAGTGCCGCGACGCCGAAATCTGGCAGAATTTGTGCACTAGGCAGAATGGGCAGCGCTTAGGCACCCATTACAGCGCCGCAGCGCTGGAAACTCAGCGCCGCAGCGCTACGACGCGAGAAATTACACGTTTTGAAGGCCAATCGCGCGAAAAATTACCCGTTTTGACCCTAATGCTCCGAAACATATAAATAGATGATTCTAGGGCAATTAGAGGGGACTTGGAGACTGTAGAATGACGGCTGGCTTTTGAGAGAGTATTCAAGAGAAGAAAAGGAGATTTGGGACGGAGAAGAAGAACGGCTCAAATCCGGAGACGGAAACGCTTCAATTCAACTCCAAACTAGTTCTTTTCTTTCCTTTCCAATGATTAAGACTTTGTTTAGGAATTTATTTTGTTTAGAGATGAACTAATTCCTTTTTCTAGGGCTACGATGTAGCCAAATTATGAATGTTCAAATTCTCAATCTTATTTTTAAGTAATTGATGTTTAATCCATATATGCTGAGTATTTCAATTTATTCTTAATGCTTGTGATTGTTTGGCCAACTATTACATGATTTTGTATTT